GGTTAATTTCGGTGGTTCTCATACACTAAGGGAGAAAATTGTGGATTAACTGACTAAAGGGTCTCTCGTGGGGTGCCGTTAGTTAGTCTATTACCCATCTCCCATCGCAACCATTCGCTTCCACCAATAGGATCCCTCCATACCCCTTTGTCATCCTTGTCTAAAGCCTTGTCTATCAATTTCAAGAATGAGCCCGCTGATAGGGCTATAATTTGTCCTATCTTTCCGACATAGCTAAGCAATCTGACTGGTGATCTGAAACCTCAACCTCATGCTCCTTTGTCCATGGCAACCATTCGCTTCCACCAACAGGATCCCTCCATACCCCTTTTGTCATCTTTGTCTACAGCTTTTTCTATCAATTTCAAGTATAATTTGTCTTATCTTTTCGACATAGCTAAGCAATCTGACTGGTGATCTGATAGCTGAACCTCATGTCTTTGGTGATCTGATACCTCAACCTCATGCTCCTTTGTCCATCACAACCATTCGCTTCCACCAACAGGATCCCTCCATACCCCTTTTGTCATCTTTGTCTATAGCTTTTTCTATCAATTTCAAGAATGAGCCCGCTTATAGGGCTACAATTTGTCCTATCTTTCCGACATAGCTTAGCAATCTGACTGGTGATCTGATAGCTGAACCTCATGTCTTTTGTCGGGTCAGCGCCGGTACGTTGGGCAGTGCTCGAGCCAGGGCCCTTGTCCTGGATGGGTGTCGGGAGTCTGGGTCGATGCGCCGGAGCCGGAGCTGTACTGGCTCTCGTAGTTGAAACGTCCACGTCCGCATCTCGCTCTTGCCCGATCTCCGACTCCGATCAGTCCAAGACTTGGACGTGGGTGTGGGCGCGCGGCGCGGCGAACCGGGGCTCTGCAAGTCCGCAGGGTTGCCGTTCTACCCGCGGTGGGCCTTGGGCCCCTCTCAACTCACCATCAGACCCGGTTTCACCACCGCTTGGTACCGTGCAAGACAGCGGAGTTGCCACGCCACAGGGAAAACCGGGAAATGTCGGGGAATTTTAAAAAGTGTGGGAAAATTGCAGGGTTGCCGCAGTCAGGTAATACCGCAGGGTGTCTACAAGTCCGGAATTTCTTGAAAGTACGGAAGTAGTACTGATTTTTTAAGAGCGGTCTGGACGTACTGAAAAAAATCGGAAATTCAGCAAGAAGGTCCGGAATTTTTTTCATTTCTTGTCATTTTTGTCATAATTTGAGCGAGAAATTCAAATTTTTGAAATTTTTCGAATTTCGTCAATTGGAGGTACTGAAAAAGTACTGAATTTTTTTGTTAAGAAGGGAGCGGAATTTCTTGAGATTGTGTTCTAAAAGTACTGTAAAAGTACTGATTTTTGGTCAGCCTGTTTTAGTAGACACCCTGTACCGGAAAAACCGAGAAATGTTAGGGAATTTTAAAAAATCAGGAAAAACCTGGAAATGTTAGGGAAAATGACGAAAATGCTAGGGAAAAATCGCTAAGTCACCTTTATTTGCTTTCTCAGGTGGGTTTCAAGCAACAAATTTTGCCTGAAAACTATTTCTAAGTATGTTTTAATAACAATCTGGCATTTATTTATTCGTCAGGGAGATTCACCTAAATGTATCATTGAAATCAGGGAAATTTCAGGAAATTTAATTTTCTAAATTCTGTGGCAACCCTGAAAATGACGAAAATGTTGGGGAAAAATTTTCAAGTCAACTTAATTTCCTCTCCAGACTGGGTTTGTCGTATTGAACAACACATTTTGCCTGAAAACTATCTCAAATCATGTCTTTTTAAGTATCTGGCATAACCTCAGTTGTCAGGGAATTTTCCCAAAATGTGACGGAGAAATCAGGGAAATGTCAGGGAATTTCATTTTCTAAATTCTGTGGCAACCCTGACAGGCAATGCATTGTCGGTACAATCGATAAATTTCAAAGAATTGAAAGGATTTTTTATATAGAGTCGCATACAAATTCCCCTGAAGAATATAATGAAAATAATCCTCAAGTTTCCCAGGAAATCCGTGTTTTTTTTTTTCAAACCAAATTTGGCAGCGTTCGAATGTTCTTACAGCGTTCCTCTTTTGGAAGGCAGACTAGTACACTAGCTCGCTGAGGAAAAGCGGAGTGCAAGTGGAGAAAAGGCTTTTGGAGGAAATCGAGTTTAGGCTCGACGCTCGATCACATCGTTGTTCCCAGGAGGAAGGAACGTAACCCTTTGCTGAGGTTGCAAAATTGACTCAAACAATCCGATTTTTCGCAAAAATGTGCCGCAAAAATTTTTGTCGAAACTTTGTCTGATTTGCGCATAAGATGAGAGGAAAAATCAGAGAAATTTTCAGACAGAAATGTCTTAGATTCTGCTGGTTAAAGTGCAAAATGCGAGGGGGATTTTGGCAACGTTGAAACGGGGTTGCATTATTTCGTGAAGGAAACGACGCTATGGCGTCTTGTAGACCAGCCACATGATTAGTCTCGTTTTTCACACGTCTATCCATTTTTCTTTCTTTTTTACATTTCAGCATAATATTCTTCCTCCGACTGCGTAGAGTAAGATCAAAAATAATGTACGATAAAATCCCATTTTCTCCATAGGGATAACCCATCAGGGACTTAAACATTTTGAAAATCCTTCGAGTACCATAAATCGCGAACAAGTAAAGTACCAACATTTTTTTATAGCTCGGGCAATCGCTTCATATCAGAAGAACAGGATAACCTATCAGGGACTTAAACATTTTGAAAATTCTTCGAGTACCATAAATCGCGGTCAAGTAAAGTACCAACATTTCTTTATGGCTCGGGTCGGGCAACCGCGCAAATCCGGAAAAGCCATTGGCACAGATAACAGGATTGATTTCGATCTTGAAGAGCTCCAGAGATAAGTAATGGCCTTATTTCAAATAATCCCGCGCTCGAAAATTTGGCTCATCTGCCGCGCTCTTACTGTTACACATTACACACACCCGCGTACGACTTGGCTTCATTTCCGAAACAGCGCAAAAGCACGTAGAGCAAGGAGGGTCTGAGTTATTACAATGTCTCAGATCAAAGCCGTCGGGAATAAACGATTTGGCACTCGTGCGTCTAAAAGCCGGTCGCTTGCCGGCGCGGCTCGGCGTCCAACTTGGTTTACATACACAAGTAGAGAGAGACATGCGCCGCACCCGCACCACATTGCGCGTCGAGTGACCCCTTATTTCTCAAATTCCGCTAAACGTGCTCATAGATTTCCCGGAAAATATTTTTCGAAGTAACGAAATGTTGGAAAAGTCCTCCTTTTCTTCTTCTTCAGCCTCATTTTCTACTCCCTTCTCCTCCTTTTCTTCTTCTTCAACCTCTTTTTTACTCCCACCTCCTCCTCCTTTTCCTCTTCTTTAGCCTCCTTTTCTACTTACTCCTCCTCCTCCTCCTTTTCTTCTTCTTCAGCCTCCTTTTCGACTCCTCCTCCTCCTTTGTTCCTCTTCTTCAGCCTCTTTTTCTACTCCCTCCTCCTCCTCCTTTTCTTCCTCAGCCTCCTCTTCTACTCCCTCCGCCTCCACCTCCTCCCCCTTCTTCTATTTTTTTACTAACCGCCAAAAAATACTCCATTTCGACGATGGACAAATACAACTCCTCAGCGTCGTTATAGTTGCCTAACTTCCAAATGAAGGCGAAAGCGACCCTCAGTTGCTCATTCAAAATCCATTTTGAAACCTGTTTCATCGATGACCGAAGTGCGAAACCACGTTTCTTCGTTTGCAACATTGCAGACTTCCTCTTACACTTTATTTTTTCTTTGGGAAACCAGTAATCGTAATTTCTTTAAAACCCCCTTGATTTTTCTTCAGGACTAGCAAAATATTCTGTAAAAATTTCAAGTTATGAAATTGTCTCGTTTCTCCTCAATAAAGTGAAACAGGAGCGGAGGGTTTGAAACACCGCAACGAAGGTACCTACGCAGTTCCGCACTTTGACCATCGATATCACGAAGTGTTACAGTGCGCCCTCATTCCGACCGCATCGATAAAAATATCTCCCAATGTCGAAATAGTTGCCTAACCGTTCAAAAGCAAGGCGAACCAGGGCCGGATTTGGATTTACTTGCCGCCCATGGGGCGCCTGCATTTTGCCGCCCCCTTCTCATTAGTTTTGAAACATCAATAATTCCATCAAGTGAACGTGCCGGAGGGAAAGGGGTGCATAAGACGCCGCGTTTACTCGTGTTGGACACATGTTTTGCGAAAACCCTGTCAACACTACTAGCAAAAGTTCACGGAAATTAGCGCGAAAGTTAAGTTCCGTAAACCTATCTCTGTGTGGACAAGGCCTTCCATTTACACGAAATGAACAAAAATATTATGAAAAAACAAACATAATAAATGTGGTTTAATAATTTTAACTTCCGCCGCCGCGCCGCGCTGACCGCACTGTGTTTAGCGCAATGCATGAATTATTCCTACTATCTTGTAAGCGCTATGCGTTCCACGCCGACCGCTGCGCTGCTGCACGCAGGCACTGTGTTTTACATAATGCCTGAAGTATTTATGCAGTCTTGTAGGCGCTCTGCGTTTCGCACCGCGCTGTCTTTGACGCAACGCGTGAAGTATTCACGCAGTCTTGTAGGCGTCAATATGTGTTAAATGCCGACCGCCGCCGCGCCGCCGAGAGTTTCCTCTTTTCATCGCAAATTCTTGTCATTATTGCTCTCTGCGCCGCGCCGTTCCAGGCCAAATTCCGTGTTTGGTTTCTCTCTTAGTCTTAACTCGACTAATTAAAGGTGCTGTCTCTTCTATCACAGAAAGACGACAAAATTAGAGATATAATCTCGGGAAATGAGAGATTTTGTCACTTTTTCTCGTTTGTAATTTTTTTTCTGAATCCGATTTTTCTTTATAGCTACACTAAAAAAAAATTGCATTTGCCGCCATGGGCCTGAATCCTTCGTTGCGTGGTGCGAAGCCCTTAGCGTTTTGCGCCTTCATTTCGACGTGGTAATTAGTCTGATGGTTTAATAAGTGCATCTGATTTGTGTTACAGGCTGTTAGTGGGTGCCCCTTTGGGTCAGAATCTTCAGCCGCGGACAAATCAATCTGGTGCTTTATGGAAGTGCCCAATTACGACAGAACTCAATGACTGTGTCCAAGTCGTCACCGATGGGAAACGAAGTAAGTGTTTCTTTTCTGCTCGTCCGTGTGGTTGAAAATCTTAATAATTTCTTTTCAGAACGCATCGCTGGGAGGAGGATGACCAACTCAGTTTTGGAAATCGTTCACCAAGAAAATAACGAAAGTGAAAGTGAGTGTCGATGGTTTAGTCGTTTGGAAAAGGAAAACAATATCAATTTCATGTATCAGTATAAGAATTGCATACAAAAACAAGAGAATCAATTAAATGAGATGAAGTGTATGGCATTTTTAAAAGTTTGATTTGCTCACTTGCAAAGCTTCTCATGAACCTACATTCTAATCCCCACATGTTGACTGTGAGGTTTAAATCATCAATGATTATAATATCGTCATTTCATCAAATTTTATGTAATTTCCCTGCACGTCCAAGAATGTTCCCAGAGAGTTTCACTCCAAAATTTACGGTGATATTCCTAAAAAAATTATGTAAGTAAGCAGGAAAACCTTGAAGTACCTGAATCGAAATATGTTGTTCTGCAGTTTTATTATTGATGTGAGTACGAGACAAATTGATTACCTACTTACTTCCTTTTTCGCAGATGAGTGATAAATATCAATGAAACCTGATACAACAAACCATGTTCCAAGGCATTAAAGCATTTATTTCAACGGTTCTCAAGTGATTATTAGTGTTGTCTAATCTTTGATGGTCATTTCCATGAGATTTGGGTCTCAACCGTCGGCAAAATAAAAATAAAAAGGATTTTCCAAAAAAAATTAGATGGCTATCAAAAAAAAAAACTTTAATGGTACGAAGAAAGCCTAATTTTCACTCATCCAAAACGCTTTTACAGTCTGGCCGTTTCATCCTGAAATACCTCGTATACCACAATACACTTTGTCGCTTTCATCTCTAGTTTTTCCTCTTCAAGCATTGTCATTGCACCGATATATTGGTGTTGAGGGCAGAAGGATAGGTAGTTGTTGCTGAACTGTCTTTCAGCATTCAGTAGTCGATAATTTTTGGTTGTAGACCTAATTTTCCGAATATTCTGTAGGCAAGTGAGTCTCTAGCACTACAAATATCTTCATTCTCCTTTAGGGGACAAAGATGAGACAAAACATCGGGAATGCACAGTCCTTGTTCATTTTCAAGGTTTTGTGTGGAAGGAGCACTTCATGGAGATTTTATCGGTGCTGCTCAACTTAATTTTCTTAAATCCTATAAATATTCAGCTGATTGAAATTTTCTAGAGTACACAAGTCCATTAATGTTCGACAGGAATAAACCAACAACAAAGAGGAACCTTATCGCACTTTTTAGTGTTTCAGCACTATTGTCAATTTATCACTCCCTTTATCACAAAGCAAATCCCACCGGCTTTGATATGGTGAAGATTTATTTTACTTTGTAGACCTTTCCTGACTAATTCGTCGTGAGTAGTTAAACTGGTTTCTGCTAAATAGAATCTAAGTACTCTCGCGAACATTTAACGGTGTAATGGTCTTCCTATTTTGTAGGATGCTCAGCATCACACTTTCTCGTTAAATTTGTCTTAATTTTTGGGTATGGCTAGTCCGATTGTAGTCAAAATGTTTCTAGTGGACGGAAAGTTCTAAAAAACATCCTTGAAAGCTCTTAAAATGAACGGCCAATGACAAAACAATCCATGTAACTGGCTCAATGGCTAAGTGTCTCAACGTCTTTGTCAGTAGTTTTGATTCAACTGTATTGTTGAACAGAGAGGGTTTTTCTATTCTTTTTTTTTCTATGTAAAACAAATCTTCGTAAAAGAGAAATGAGAACATTCTGATTACAGTCGGATTTTAAAATACACACCTTTCACACCTTTAAATTAGTTGTGTTAGTCTTCTATTCACATATTCTAAGCAAATTCTTACTCAATAATTGGGATTCTCTAACTTGTATTTTCCAGTTACTTGGTCATTTGTTCTTATGTATCTCACATTATTTTGTGTGGTCCTACCTCTTCTCAACTGTCATCTTTTTTTCAGTGCTTAATCAATAAGATCTGCATCATGTAATGTAATAATTTTAAAGTTGAGAAACTGAGAAACTATCTATTGTTGGAAGGATCTCCTTTTGAGAGCTACCTATTCAGTAGAAATAAGGCCCATTGATTGAAATGCCGCTATGGTTACATGTAAAAAGTCTACTGGAAGCCAGGCTTCTGTATGTTTAGTTGAATATAGGTATCTAGCCAATATCTTAGAAATTATTTTCGATTCCATTTACTTAGTTGAAAACACTGTAGCATTATATGATGCAGAAATGCAATTTACCATTTTGTTACAGCTCCTTGTCTTTACTAAGAGTTATCAACAAAGTTTTTTTAGTCATTCAAGTATGAGTACCAATCTATTGCTTAAACAAACTATTCTCTGTCTATTCGGTACCCTTCCTACAGAAATTCTCCATTCTTAAACTGACAACGAAAGCTTTTGAAAGGTTTCAATCAAAGATATTCAGTCACTTCACCTCTTTGTCTTGACATGTCACGTAAACACCTTACCTATTGACCATTTCTCTTTGAGCACACAGTGGAAACACCCCACATTATTTGTAAAAAATGAAGGTATACAATTTCCAAGCCTCACTTTACTTTACTCCAACACAACCACTTCCCCTCTTCTTTTTTTTTTTTTTGCCAACATCCACCTCTCGCAAATTGTTTGTAATGTCAATGCTTCCATTACGGCTCACCCCAACACAACCACTTTTCAATCTTCAAATTTCGACTCTACCTCATTTACTCTTCTTGATCAAGAAATGACCCTTAGTTCAAAAGTGAACATTTTTCTCTTGATTCCACTGTTTAAAAAATGTCATACAAATCCATGCTTTTGAAAGGAAACCAACTCATAACCGCTGCGGAAAATAATCTTTAGTCTAACTTGGCACAAAATAGTAAAGGTAACATAAGCTAACAAACAATTCGTAAATTCAAAATTGGTTTCAAAATACATTACCTATTTTGTTGGTTTTCTAACCTCCCCTCCCCCCTCACCACCACTCCTCCAAAAAAAGAAAAGTAAATCAGAACATTGCGACTTGAAATCATCAAAATTGGGGAGGTAGGTGCCGTTTGTTACTTTTTCCTGGCACTCTCATTTGGTATACTGTGCTGATGATAGAGCGGTTTTGTTTCTTTCCTCTGTCCCCTCTTCCTCTCCTCTTTTTCTTGCAGTTTCAGTGAAAATGTATCATTTTTCATGATCCAAAGTTTTATCTCTATTGCGTTTTACCCTATCTCATCTCACTCAATGAGGAAAATTTTTTAGCCTCTTGGATTATCGTCATTGTGATGAGCTTCACAAAGGAGCACTCTGTACCTTAAAAGCAAATTTTCTTCAAAAGCTTCCAAAAAAAATCCTCCTCTGTCGCTAAGTATTTGAAATTTGAGACACGTTGTTTGAATTACCTCCAACATTATTTCACTATCAGAGTTTCTGTTTGTAAAACCCGCAACTTTCTAAGTTATTCAACCCTTGCAACAATTTTTTTGACACCTCTGACTTCCGACACTTGACACTTTTTATAATGTTCTTTCAAATGTTAGACAAAATTGAAGAGTACACTACTTTCTCTCTATATTTTTGAATCTTCTTACTCCATATTACAGTAAACAATAACCGTTTCTTTCTAACTAATTGTTTCATTTGTATCTGAATTATTTGTTTATTTCTTTCTTTTTGTTCTTATTTTTAGGCCAGAAAGACGGTCACTTAGACAAATGTAAGTCACTAATCAAATGGTGATGGTATTTTTAAAATACCTGTTGTTCGCTTGTATGGTAAAAATTTAAGTACCTACCCTGGTTTTTTGTCTTGCTTGATGTTTGTCTATTACATGTATGTACCTACTGATTTTAATTTATCATGTGGCGGTAGTTCTCTTCTTTCCAAACAAAATGGTTTTCACCTTTTGTGACTTTTGTGATATCAAATTTATTCCCCCTAAAATTTCACAGAAATTTAATTTTCTAAAGTATTATATTTTTCTCTATAAAAGGAACTGAACATCTCCTCCTTCAAAATTCTTCTCTCTGCTGAGATGCAAGCATTTGTAGCTATTGTTGCAGGCTTCATCATTTAATTTCATTTCACCGAAATGATCCAGATAAAGTTTTCCGCATAAAGCACCAGAGACTGAGTTTCCATTTTTCCTCGAAATTTTATTAACCTAAGAATGAGGATTTACTCATGATCTCGGATTGTGCAGTCATTATCACTTTTGAAATTTGCTGTGACACTATTTCGTTTGGCCGTTCATGGTTTGCTTCTGTGTGTTGTATAACGTTTTAGGTTTTTACGACCAGGAATTTTTATTTTTTATGTTTCTGGTATTTTTTTGACTTTGTTGTAGAATATGCTTATGCTAATTTTTTGTTTTGAAACTGTCACAATTTTGTGTTTGGTTTTTTTTTTCCTAAGTATGAAGTTTTGATCATAATATGCATAAAAAAGTGATGAGAATTTACTTCAATAGAGCTCATTGATTCAGTGCTCAGGCTCATCAAGATATATATAGTTTCTTGGGGTTTGCAAGAAGTATTTCTTTTGGGTGTCAATAGTGATAAAGCTTTTGATTTGGTGTGCTTCTTTCTCCTTTTTGGATGAAAGCATTTGATTTGTTATGTCAAGTTTTTCCGAGCATGTACGGCAAATGCAATATTCCTTTGACAAATGGTCATACATTTTTGCCTGTGCATGCCAATTGGACCATGTAATATGGAGAGAAATCCAAACCAATACCTTTTTCCGTACCATCGTCATCTAAATCATTCCTAATTCTCTTCAGAATCCTGTGTTTTCTCTCGATTTCATAGTGCCCATCAAATTTTACTCTCCGTATAATTTACCACACCATGCTTATCCCAGCAGTAGAAATTTTCCTGTATTGTTCCAAAAGAAATATTGATGTCTTTAAATAGAAAACTTAGAGAACAAGATCATAATATTTTGTTGTGGAGTTTTGTGGCTACTTTTGGACTCTATTGAAGGAGTTCTAAAAGATTGATGAAATAGCTTTCTTTTCGCCCAAGTTTAACCGTATACACAGGCACAAATTTGTATCATGTGTTTCTGTTCAATAATTTTTTAACTTCTGAACACTTGCGAGCTGTAGCTAACGTTAAAACAGTTTAATTTTAGCACTGTTTTTTCCGAAATACTTTACCTCGGACTCTGTCAATCGTTCATATTGGCTCCAGCCGTGTTGAAGTCAAACTCATTTCATGATCGTATCAGAACTGGAAAATCTAGTTGAAGCATAATGCTTCCTGGAATACCAACCCTTAAAGTTCTAGAAACCGCACTGAGTCGCTCTGTACTATTCAGTAACTTTATGTTTTGTTGTACCATAAAGTGGAATATGGCATGTTGGTTTTTCTCAACATAGCTAACAACACCATCTATCATTCTATCTCAATTTTTCAGCTTCTGTAGTCCCAAATTCATCACGGCACAAATATCACCATTCCCACTTTCAAAATGGCACTTATTCAACGAAAAATTTTTGACAAATGCAGCACATCATTTTTTAGCCAGCGTCTATTTCAAGGGATCATCTCATTCTGATACATTACAACTTCGTGCCTCTACCAATTATTTTGTCTTGCACTTGCGTGATTGTACATAAAATGCATCTCCATGCAGCATGCACCGTACAGCTTATGAATGTGTACCCAAGCTGCTTTCTCTTAATTCAGCTTTCGCGTCATTGATGCCATACCAATGAAGAGATCTTGATAGCTCAGTTTTATGTATATCTTTTCAAAGCAACAGTTATGTTTTGCCCAAGTGAATTCTATTTTATATAAATGACGATTTGGAGGCTACATTTTAAAGCTTATCTCTTGAGCTAAAATGCTTTATCCTTAAGATTTTTTTGAGTTCTTGAAGATGCGATCAGTTTGCAGGTTCTTTTGTAAGAAATTTGTCCTTCATTGATCCAACTTGGCTCATTTTTTATTTTAATTTTATACTGATTGCAAAAGTTTTGATACAAATACAAATGTCTACCATTTACAGAAAATTGTCTTACTCCTGTTTTAATTTATCACTTTATAATTTATTTTTTTTCTTCATAACTTCTTTTTCTTTACCTCCTATTTCTTAAGATCCCTCTAAATGTTCTATCTTTGCAATCAAAGATTCCTACTTCTTAATTCTTAAATACCTTTATAGCTTCCTACCCATTCTCATGTGCCCATTACTGTGCCCTTTTTTCCTCAGAAGTTATTCTGATATATCTACAAAACCAAGTTTTCGCAATTTTCCCTCCCTAAAAAAATTATACTGTACATCCATTGCAATCGTTTTTTCAGTATAGTAAAAAATTTCCCACTGCAAAGCACATTTTATTGCACTATCAAAAGTCTTCAAAGTTTCTTATGATTTTCTGAGAATTTTGCTAAAAAAACATCGTATGATAACATTAATGTGAAAAAGTTAGAATAAATAGTAAAGACGAAAGTTTGAAGAAAGAGTTAAGTGGGAATCAGTTTCACAAAAGCTATTACGGGAGTTCTATATTTCCTCTGCACTTTAATTCATCGTACAATTTTTATACTCCCATCTTCTCTCACTCATTCTCTAGAGTTATAATCTTATCAAAAATTAAAATCATATTTGTACCTCCTCAATTTACTTAATTTTTCAACTTGACCACTTTAAGTTTTGTTGCTATCAATTTTCTATGCCCTCTTCTTTATGGGTGTCCAAGTGGTGTCAACTGTACAATTAACTATCATAAATTTATTTTCTCCAGCTATTGATGCAACAAATTTAGAACCACCTTTAGACGATGAAATTAAGGACGGTCAGTGGCTCGGAGTGTCTCTTCAGAGTCAGGGTATCGGTGGGAAAGTCATGGTAAGTTACATAATGTTTTTAAATTTCTAATACCCCTACAATTTATTGCCGAATTAATATTCTACATGAATTCAACTAAAAATAAATCCTTTCTCATGCGAGAATGTATTATAAATCTTACTAAGGAATTCCTAATTAACAGCATGTCATATTCAATCTAAAAATGAATATTATGATTCTTAGCTGATTTGAAACTGATAGTATTTTTTAAAAAAAAGGACATTTCCTCAAAAAAATTTGGAAAAAAATTACCACTCAAATCCTGAAAATGAAGTGTTTTTTCGATTTCCTATCAAATGATTTTCTATATTTTTTGAACTTGCCAAGTCCTAAATTTGTGCTCCTAGTATTAAGAGGTTTTCTTCTATGAAAGAAAGAAGAAGAGGAATAAACAGAAACCATACAAATAAATTAATTAATCAGAGGAATAGCGAGACAGGGAATTTTCTCCTGTCAATCCAACTTTGAATTCAAAGGTAAAAGGTGCCAATGATTTCTCAAAATAGTGTAAAAGAATTAAGCTCAGTAAGATGAGTTTAGATTTTTAACTTTTTTAGTTGCCGCCGCTATAACTCTCTTTGGAGTAGTTTTATCAAATTCCTCTCCATAAGGTTTTTGTTTTATGTTTCTTACTTGATACATGTGTTCCTCTTTTATTGTTCATTAAACTTTTAAATTGCATTTCTTCACAGGTTTGTGCTCATCGTTATATGAAAAAAGGAGAGGGTTACCGACAAGGTCAGGGTCTTTGCTATACACTGAGCCAACATCTTGAATTTGATGACAGTTGGGAGCCGTGTAAGGGTCGGCCAACTGATGGGTAAGTGAAAACTCACGTCATTTTTTGCTAAATTCAGTTCAATTAATAAATCATCAGTTTACCTATTAATTTTTTTTTTATTAAACAGTTGTTTTTTTTATCAACTCTTTGAAAAAATCAAGGAAGATTTTAAACCAGTAAAACCAGGAAAACCATAGCCAAAGTATAGCAGGCGTGAATTTCCGTGCAAATTTCGAACTTATTACTCATAATGGGCCTGCTGCAAACTTTTACGAGAGTAAAAATAGGAGATGTTTCTATTAGTAAATGTCTCAAAATTCACGATGAGCGCATTGGCAAAGTTTGAAATGCACTCCTAACTTCACAATCTGCGTAAAAATTTTGCGTTCTTTTTGAGCTTCCCGCTTGAAAGACGATAATACAGCACAGGTGAACATTTTGATAGAGGTGTCGTTCTATCCAACCCTTGTGCACCAGGATAGCACAATCATTAATATAAACTTCGAAGGATTCAGACTTTCAGCGATTCTACCTTTTTCTATTTCACTCGAGAGGTTGCCAGATTGTGCGATAAATGTGAATATTTGACATGGATTTGAATTGAGAAAAGTGCTAAAAAAGCAACTTAACTGGCAACAATAGAGTCCGGGAGGGACGAGAGGCTGCCTGCCTGGGAAAACCCACGATTTAGCCAAAATGTCATTAAAACAATTGATTCCGTTTGAAGCATCAATTGTATACTAAGGGAAAGCTATTTTAAAATAATAATTGTAAATGGACACAGATGCTACAGAAAGGGAAAAAGAAAAGGGAAAGGAAATGAAATGAGGATATGATTACTAATATCCAATCAGAGAGGATAAAACAAAAACATCAGAGAAATTTATATGCGATGAAAGTATAAGAAAAAAACACGAGTGGGCTCATTGGGATTCGGAACTTGAACTATACTATCGTTGCGCAGTTTTTAGACCCCTACGCCACCGACAATCTTCTTAAGAGGTAAAGATGAACTTTTGCTACATCAGCAAGTCAAATCGCGGAAGGAGATCCACGGATTGTCTTTTTCCGCCACCCGATGGGATGATGTCCCAGTCAAATGCGTGTTTGAAGAATGATCCATCCCCATCATCGCTTCATCTCCACACATGTATTCATGTGCAAATGATGGCACGCTCCGGCAACAAGGTTCTGTGACGAAATCATTTTTGCCTCCAGAGTCTCCAAAATGTATATATCTTAGTGATCAAACGTCCAATCACTGAGAAAAATGGCTCGCGGAGCGAGCCGAATGTCACTCGCGTAGCGAGTGATCGGGGGTCAAGGGGGCGCAGCCCCTTGGCTGGCCGTGACGGACGCGCAAAGCGCGTCCAGAACGACTAGTATACAATATGGCCGATACCAATCTGCCAAAACTCATGTGCCTGGACAAGTTTCTAAACATTTGCTAACAACCCAGCGTGTTTACATTCACGATTTCTTCATGTTGATGAAGATCAGCTTTGGTTGACCATGTGCTCCCGATTGCGATTTGCACATGGAAGCGTCGGCTATGTTGGGTATTGCTTTTGCGAAAGGGTTGGATGGAACGTCTCCTCTAACGAAATGTTCACTGCGCTGTAATAGCGTTTTTGAAGCGGAAAGCTCAAAAAAACGCAAATTTCTTGTGCAGAATGTAAATTTAGGAGTGCATTTCAAACTTTGCCAATGCGCTCATTGTCATTTTTGAGACACTTATTGATAGAAACAACTCTTATTTTTGCTCTATCAAAAGTTTGCATCAGGCCCATTGTTACTTTTAGAAATATACCTCTAAAAAAGAGAATTAGCTCACTTAATATCTCTATCATATTTCTTTTCACAGGCTGGAGTATGAGTACTGTCAAGCAGGAACCAGTGCTGTTCTCCTAGAAGATGACACAGCAGTGATTGGCACACCAGGAAGCAGAACATGGCGAGGAACAGTATTCGTGGTCAATGTTTCGGATGATTACTTGCTTCGAGATAAAACATTTTACTATGGACCAATCTCAGATGATACAAGTCCAGTTGAATTGTACAGCTATCTCGGTAAGTGCAATTATCAAAGTTCCCAAACTTCCTTTTCCTCTTAAGTAATTTGGACGTTTTTATGCTGAAAGGAACTACGCGCAAGTGGAAAGATGGGGTGTGCTTGTGGAAGCTGGATAAGGAACAATGTGGTCAGTGGATATAGTTCCTTTTGAGAAAATGGAAAAGTGGGATTTGACCTTAAATCTAAAGGAACTGAGCGCTAACTTGTGAGCCGTTGGCATGTGACAAGAGCGTTGTGGACAGGGCTCATGAGTTAAAGTTGAGGAAGAGCGAAAATGGGGACAGCTTTGTTGCCGCCAACGTCATTGACGCTTTATATTTCCCATTCATTCTTATGGCCCAACCATCAACGAGCACACACCATCTTCCCACATGCACGTAATTCCATTTAGCATAAATACGTCCTTTTTTTTCTAGGAGCAGTTAATTATGATCTTTGTCATAAGACCGTTTTTGTATCAGAAAAGGGAATGAAAAATATAAAAAGAGACCCTTTGGCCTCATGTCAACATAGGAATTTTTAATTTCTACATGTCTACTATATGCACCCCTGCGGTGCATGATGTCGTACGCTGTGTATTATGAAGAGCTATATCGCCGCCAAATGAGTGAACTTAATTTTTAACGCTGAAAGGATCATATTTTAATAATAAAAAAAAATATAACTGAAGCATTTCAGCCTTAAAAGATTGAATTGAGAAGGAAAGAGCTGTGGAGATGTTGTCGGACTTCCCGTTTACATATCGGTTTACTAGAACATCTTGCCTCGTGAAATGAGAATCTACCCTGGAAAGAGATGATACTATCTGCCGACTCAAGTAACTTCCAGAACAGTAAAAGAAGAAAGTGGATCTGGTATCTGACAGAGACTTTACAATAGAAATCCTAGCGGCTTTGAACCTCTTTTAGGAGAAAAACTGTCATTTCATTTTTATGGGCTTTACAAGGTACCGGTATAAAAGGATTATTTCGTTTGTAATGGAGATTACCCTTCCAATTTATGTTGGTTTTTATGTTTGTCCATCAATTTTTAATTAATAAATGAGACCTTCTTTAGCTGACTCCTCTACATTCCCATAAAGTTTGTTGTTTCAGTGTGTCTTCAAAATTGAGATGCATTGGATGCGAAAAGGGCACTTCTCGGTTGCAGTGTTTCAGAATCTCTGTTGCTGTAAATCCCTTGGAGGAGACTCTAATAAGTGATTTTTCCAGAATTCTTTCCATAGAAAATTGTGGAATCATAAGGAATATTCAGTAAGTTTTCTAGTGGAATGGATGCAGGATGCATTCACTTTCCTTACAATGAATGAAATATTAGAGGAGACTCTGAAACACTGCAACCAAGAAGTGCCCTTTTCGCATCTAGTGCCTCAATTGTAGAATTTGTAGGAGTCCGAAAGTAGACTTAATGAGAGGTAGCAGGGTTCTCAGCATCAAAAGAAACCATGAAAACTTCGGGAATTCAATATTTCTGGAAGACAATTGTGAACAAATAGACTTCGGGGGAAAACCCTGAGAGGACAGACAATTTTGACTTATTACAGCAAAGAAGGTGAAAATAAGAAGTTTTTGCCATTTGAAGTGTTTAAATGCTGAAGTTTTTCCTGTCTTGCAACCTAAAAGCCAACTTAGAAAAAGAACAGGATGAATAGAAAAAGTGGAAAATGGGATAAACTTAGGACGAGAGAACTATCAATTTGAAAAGTTAGCCTTTCTCTTGGTTATATTCTTCGAGCGGACTTCTGACCATGGAAACCGGAAAAGTAAGGACAAGTGAGTAGGTTGAATAACCATAGTTTTTTATTCTTTTTTAGGAATGTCAGCAACTGCAGCTCCATTTTTTGGTCCTAGTGCAAACCCAATGGGATATGCGGCTGGAGCTCCTCGTGCCAATGGCACTGGTCAGGTTGTCTTGTTCACGCGTGCTGGCCTCCTCATCAACCCAATGAATGTCAGGTTAATTTTGAATGGAGATCAATTTGCATCAAGCTTTGGATACGAAATCGCTGCCGCAGATGTGAATGGAGACGAGTAAGTCATTTTTCAAATTGAGGAGGAAATTGAGAGTACTCTGACAATGAATTTAAATCTGATTAATATACAAAATCCATTTTTCTCTTTATTTTCATAAAATTTTATCCGAAAAGTTGAACTCTGATAGCATACTTAGGTAACCTTAAAATTAAATTGAGCTTCTCTAAATCAGGAGCCACAGTTAGAATCATGATTTTTTTTGAACAGTCTTTTTGTATAATGGCGCTAGTACCAAACCCTTTTCATCTTTGGTTTTCTGAATCTACAACAACTTCCAGAAATCATTGATTCTTGGCATTCGCACCTTTTTTGAAAGCAAATTGTCCAATTTTGAATGGAATGGCACCTGTTGCGTACATTTAGCAACAATCAGAACTATTGAATAACTATTCACTTTCATAATAATAATATTCATAATAATGCTGTGGATATGACTTTATTCACACGGGTTTATAGCATTACAATGCGTATGTATATAGAACTCTGTTACCACGGAGACATATCAGGTTGAAGCTTAAATAGCTTTGACAGCACCCAAATACAGGGAAGATGACAAAAAGTGTTGTTCAGTAAAGACAGTTCGGGGAATCTTTTCAGTTACACACAGTCATTGCTGTCCATATTGTAATGTAGATAATCTGTTTCCTTTTGGTGATTTTGGAAGTTTTAAAGTGGATCGATGGCATTCATTAAGTATGTAAGTAAAAAGTAAACTAAATTTCTAGCCCAAATTCGATGTTCTTAACTATCCTTCCAGCAAGTTAGTAATGTGTCGTACATTCAAGAATGGAAAGGAGAACTAACAAACTTCACTTATTTTGATTCAAAATCCATCAATTTAATCGACACATCTCCATAATTAATTGACATACTCGATGAAAAATTGTTAATTGAACATGTTAATCTTTCTATTCAGTTCCATTTTACACGTAAATATTTTTTCTTTGTTTTGCAGCGAACCTGATCTCATTGTAGGTGCTCCATTTTATTTCGGAAGAGACTCTGGTGGAGCTGTTTATGTCTACTTAAACAATCCAGATCGAAACCCTAGAACCCGTTTTGATAGCCAGCCATCAATTAAAATGACAGGCAAGCCAGAATCAAGGTGAGGATCCACAATACGTGCAAAACACAATTCTTTTAAACTAGCACTCCCGATTATTTAAGCTGAAGTTCCTTCGATTTTCTTGAAGAAAAAAAACAGTTATTTTTTTCCTCTTAAGACCTTTAGATCTTATCTTACGTCAAATTTGAAGATCACAATTTACAACTGTACCCAGAAAACAGAGCACTTGTTTTCATTTCTAAGTCAAATTTTTAAGGAGAGAAGTTTTAGTGAGTGGTTGAAAATCCCGTATTTGAGCTATGGTTAGACAATAGATAACGCCTTTTCCTGAATGAAATTATCACACATTGTTCACTTCTTAACGCTTGGGGTCTGCAATTATAAGTTGTTTTGGCTCAATTGTTTGTTGCACATAATGGTACCAATGAGCCAATGAACTTCAAAGACATCAAGACTCTTCTGAATGGTCACACTTGTCTTATCCGTTTAGTTCTTTCTTCTTTCTTTTCTTTTCATAAAGGCTAGAATTTTTATTTTGCCATTTTTTATAAAATCGCAATATTCCTGGTGTTGCAAAGTTTGTAATACAGAATATTTTTAAATCGAAGGTGACTTTATTCATTGAAGAATTATTGATAGGTAGCATAGATTTGTGTTTTCATCCTTATGCATCTGTAAAAGAAAATCAAGCTGTAATAAGCAAACTTTAAAGAGTAGTTATATTTATCATATTGTAAAGAGTCGGTCAAAAGTGCAGGTTTAGGAATGTTCAGCTTAGGATTGTTCCCATTCAAATTTCGATACTTTGTAAGATTTATCATGAGAATATGGTTTGAATTTTGATTTCAGGTTCGGCCTTGCACTTTCCTCATTGGGAGATCTCAATAAAGATGGTTTTACTGACATTGCAGTCGGAGCTCCTTACGAAAATGATGGTGTCATTTACATTTATCTTGGTTCCAAGAATGGTCTGATAACGGAACCTTCTCAAGTAAGTTTTGGATCTTCTATAACTTTTATGTTCAGGTGACAGGATGAAAATCTTTGTATTGATGGAATGAAAAATTATTTCAGAAGATTTTTTTCCTGGCACTGAGTTGAATGATCTTGAAAAATTATTCAAAAAATTCAAGTGGAGAAAGACTTGAAATCAAACATACTAATTATTAAAAATTACTTTTCATTTATAGCATATTGTGCATGTAAAGTTTTGATTCTAATTTGTTCGAGTTTTTTTTGTCTCCAAGATAACGAATATACATTGAATATTTGGTTACCTACATTGGGTGTCAACAACATTTCAGTTGCGGTATTCATAGAATCATATTTGAATGGCTTTTGTTTGCAATTTAGCAAATATTAATAAAATCTGTCCAAACGCCTAGTCTTTGCGTCCTATGTGGAGGGAAGTATTGCCATTCGAAGAAGGCAGTATATAAAGGCATCCACCGCAGTGTTATTTGTTCTCTTTCAACTTAAATTCATCAAATAACATATTGGCACTGTGGTTGTCCAACTTATACTACGGGTAGAACCTAGATGGAAGAAACCAATATATGCACCCCTGCGTTGCATGATGTCGTACGCCGTTTCTCTTGAAGAGTGATATCGCTGCCAATGTTAGACAAGGAACTTGATGTTTTTATAGAGCGCATTATTTTTTGCTGATCCATCATCTAAAATCATCCAAACATGATTCTTTGACTAGCGCAACTAACTCATTAAAATGAGATAGCATGTATTAAGCACTACAAAATCCCAACAATAACGCATCAAATAGAGTAAATAAAGCTATGACAGAACGCAAAAGGTAGTTTTTACACCATCTAATATACTATTTTGGAAAAAAATTTTATTAGGATTGTTTTTGTTTATTGTATATTATAAACCGTGTTCTTCCTTTTCCAGGTTATTAGATCTGAAGCACTGCCAGTTCGACACATTACAACACTTGGCTACTCTCTCAGTGGTGGGTTGGATTTAGATCAAAATGGGTATCCAGATTTACTAGTTGGTGCATATAACTCTGATTCTGTGCTTTTATTCCGGGCTCGCCCCATCGTAGGCTTACTGACCACTGTTGAGCCGGAAGAAAACCTGCGAAATCTAGATCCTAATGTGGCTGGATGCAAGGCTAATCCTGATTCTCCACTTACATGGTAATTATTTTAATTAATTCCTTTATAGGCTAAAGCCCTTGCAACTTTCTTTGTCTCCAAATTTTCCTTAACATGTGTCCCTGTGCAAAATCCTTACGGAATAAAGTCAAAGTCTGTCCAACATTTAATGACTCGCAGTCGCTGAGAATTGCCATAATCAGAATGCTAGGCATGCCAAATGATCCTCTGTGCGTTTGTTGGTAACCTCTGATTTTGAGGTGATTTTGTATTGGGACTCAGCACCTAACGGGAAACCTCACTCACCAGTGATGGGGGATGGTAATTTTCAACCTACATGTTTTTACCACACTCCATTTTCTAGTTCTTAAAGGACCCTGCACACCGCTTGTGGGATTTTGTGCCCACATTGATATCAATAATTTTATTGCATTATCTCCTCATGATCCTAATGAAAAGTTTTGAACAAACCAATGGTCTAAAAGCTACTGTTTTCGCCCAAATCGCCTTAGAAGTCACAATTATTTTCCGTCTTTTCAATGCTTCATTGCAAAACCAATAGCGAAAACTACAAACCAAGCCTTTCATAAAGCGACTGATAAAAGCGAGAGAAGAAGAGACAGAAAAATATTTATAATAAGCATTAGTGAGAGAGAAGAAGAAATAGAAGAATATATATATAATAAGCATTAGTGAGAGAGAAGAAGAAATAGAAGAATATATATATAATAAGCATTAGTGAGAGAGAAGAAGAAATAGAAGAATATATATAATAACCATTAGTAACCATTATTCGCCCAAATCGCCTTAGAAAGTTACAATTATTTTCTGTTACTTCAATGCTTCATCGCAAAATGAAGTCCAATATCGAAAACTACAAACCAAGCCTATCAAAAAGCAACTGATGAAGAAACCTCTGGCATGCCGATGATATATTTTCACTTGATAGATATTTTATCATTTCCCCTCTGCTAATATTTTTATATTGCTCTAGATGGTGGATGAAAGAGAAGCAGAATGCAGCCTAATGCGATTCGTAAAAATTAATATATTCCTATGTTAGTTATCCAAGAGTTCCATAGAAGTGTTTAAATGGATATCTTTATAATAACTGAGTTCAAAATGCCGAGAATGTTGCTAGAAGCTCATCAAACTCTACCCAATTTAGTCTGAATTCATGTTTATTTCTTTGCCCTAGCTTCACCTTCAAAGCTTGTTGCACCATCGACTCACTTTTGAAAACAGAATCTCATCCAAGTCCGAACCTGGGTTTAACATTGAAGTATCGCTTGGAAGCAGAGACCTTCCACCTTCAGAGGAAGTTCTCGCGAGTAACATTTGATCCAAACAACACTGAGAGGCCACATGTTTTGGAAAAAGAGGCGGAAATTTTTCCTCAGGGGAATGGAGAGTATAGATTCTGCGATGAACACACCGCCTATATTAAGGTATGTTTTCTAGATGTATTCTGTCAATTTTCTAGCGTCCTGAAACTCATTTGATCTCCTAAGTAAATAATTCGATGAATTTAGTAATTCAAATTGGTGGATTCACACATGAGGATCGAACATAGAGTACATAGAGTCGTAATGTAATTGGGAGATCTGACGCCAATTTTAAGCAATTTCCAGGTCCTGAATTCCGAGACTCCTGTGTGACGCCGATTCACTTTTTCGATACATGATCAATTGTTTTCAATACACAGGTACCTGCCCATCCGATGTAGTCAAAGAAGATAGGAATTAATCATGTATTCCGCACCGCCATTTTGGATCAGACATGTTTCGAAAAAGTGACCGAAGCTCGGCACACACCGGGCTCAGAACATGGCACCAGCTCTCCCATTTACATTACGACTCTATGTACTCAATGGGATCAAACTTAAATGTTTCACTAGCCTGTAAAGGTAAAATATGACATTAAACATGTTGGCTCTGGTGATATTGCAAGAATGTGTATTTCAGTTAGCTGCATCACAGACTTCCTGTCATTCTTTATTTTTAAATGGGAAAATACTTACCGTCATTTCTCAAGAAGTTACCTAATTTTTCCTCTTCGTAGAATAACCTATGAAAAAGTATAGCATTAGTTGTGGATTGTTCTCCCTTGATAAAATTAAATGGGAGCAAAGATTTTGAAGCGCTTTGATTAGGATACGCAATCCTGTAGTTTCATCTTCAAATGATATTAGTCTGTTTGTGTGTGTGTCTCATTGTAATGTTAATAATCAAGATATTTTAAATATTATTGGTGGCAGAAGTTGATAGCTCGTCAAATGAAAAATAAACTGTCATTAGCTACACATCCTCCAAATATTATGAACTCTCAAAGTTTTTAGAAGAATTCTCCAAGAGACTGTTATTCAATAATATCGATCATGATTCTTAATTATTTTATTTTACTCTTAACTTAATCAAACCCATAAATCCTAGATTGGACTCCTGTATTTGCCTACCTTTTCCAGGAAAACACCAAAGACATCCAATCGCCTATCAAATTTAAACTAACCTACTCTCTAGTACAACGTGATCCACCTTTGATAACACCCGGATCTCCTCTTCCATCTCTCAGCGAGTACCCGATTTTAAATCAACAAGAAGCAGCAAAAGTTTTCGAGGCCACGTTTCACAAAGATTGCGGTAATAATGATGTATGCGAAAGTGAACTTTTTGTTGAAGCCTCTCTTCGTCTTCCTTATTTAGGTAAGTAATGCAATAATGTAACTATTGCTACTGTATGTACGTTTTTTATCGTTATTACTGTAAAACCATAGTTTTAATCTAAATATGTGAGGAGTGAATATTTTTCTAAGACAATTTCTTCTCATTCTTTATCTTTGTCATAGTTTTAATTACAGCACTAAGCCTCTTTCATACTATAAAATTGAATGGGCCTGTTGAAAACTTTTGCTAGAGCAAAAATAAGATTTGTTACTCATAGAAAGTGTCTCAAAAATCACGATGAGCACATCAGCAAAGTTTGAAATGCACTCCTTACTTCACATTTTGCTTTGTAAGAAATTTGCGTTTTTTCGAGCTTCCCAATTCCGAAACGATACCACAGCACAGGTGAACATTTCGTCAGAGGAGTCATTCCATCCAACCCCTGCTCACAAGGATACCACGCAATATTCAACATAGATGACGCCAATCTGCCTAAACACATGTGATGGGACGATGATTCTAACCACCTGATAATAATCGGCGTGTTTACATTCACATTTTTCTTGCTTTGATAGATATCCGCCTTGATTGACCTCGTGCTCCCCTCAACTTACGCGCGGAAGCGTCGGCCGTGTTGAGTAGGGATTGAATGGAACGACTCCTCTAACGAAGTGTTCATCTGTGCTGCAGCATCCTTTTTTAAGTGGGAAGTTTAAAAAAACGCAAATTTCTTACGCAGATTGTGAAGTTAGGAGTACATTTCAGAGTTCGCCGATGTGCTCATCGTGATTTTTGAGACATTTTCCATAAGGAACAACTCTTCTTTTTGCTCTAGCAAATGTTTGCAATAGGCCCATTCTTGAATGTTTTCAAGCTAATCCAAGCAAATCTCAGAACCTATAATTGCTCCAGCTAAACTTAAGCACCTTAGGAATTAAATTTTATTTTATTTTTAGCTACTTTGACATTTCTCTTCGTAGTCTCTTTTTATCACTGTTTTGAGAGCTTTTTTGCCTATGGTAAAATAATAAATTAATTTCACAGTAATGTAACATCACTGTACTTTTTCAGCCGATTCAGATGATTCAATTTATGAGCTGATGTTGGGAACCATGCAAGAACTTGTCGTCAATATCTCTGTCACTAATCTACACGAGTCTGCCTACGAAGCCCAATTATTTGTTTCTCACTCACCCAGTCTTAGTTACATTGGCAGAATTAAACAAGATGTAAGTATCAATTTCTCATGTGTACTAAAAGTTTAAAAGGTGGAATTTCAATCTTATCTCGCCATTTAATATTAATTGTAATGGCTTAATGTTGAGCCAGTTGTCGTAACCATAAGAGCTTTTGTTGTCGCCTTGTTTATCATAATAACGAAACCGATAGGTTACACTATCTTAAACTCAGCTTGCATACAAGCCGATGTAAACTGTCCCTAAAACCTTATACAGTACTTTCAAAATGATGAGCTTAAAACTCATGAAACAACACTTACGTTTCGCCAGTTTTGAGATCGTAATTCCAAATTTAATATACTTTTTATTTTGGATTTTTCCAAAAAAAAATTAAGCCTTCACTTTGTGTCACTATCCAAGTCCAAAAATTATTACTGTATGATGAGTTAAATAAATAGCCAAGTTGTTAGGTATTCAACTCATCATGCAGTGATAAAATGGTATTACTAATCAACGATATCATCAAAAAATTATTGTCAAATTCTTGTTTTGTCTGTCAAATATGTTGTAAGCTATCCCCACAAGCATTGATGAATGAGAATGTTCCTGGATGATTGTTATTAGTGTTGCATGCCTCCACAGAGTATGTTTGTTATTTGTATGTACATACATAATAGTTTGAAATTAGGAGTCTCCAATTTTCCTTTCAAGATTTCTAGACGCCAGTCTGTAAATATCAACCATCAGGGTGTCTACTGTACGGAAAATGTAACGATACACTGAAAAAGCCTAAATTTCAGAAGGTTGGTACGCAAGTACGGACAAGGTCTGGATTTTCCGTTAAAAGGTACGGAAATTCGAGATTCTTGTGATCAACTCTAAAAAGTAGTCTCAAGGGTATGCGATTTCCATTTATTATGTTCCCGGTTCGATTCCTCGTGTTTTTTGGTTTATGCCTTTGTCATTCCACTTCCACAATCTGAATACATTAAAAATGCGTGTGAGGTGAGGAAAAAGTAAGGAAAAGGTAAGGAAAAAGCAAGTATTTTTAAGAATCGCCAAAAAAAATGAATTTTGGGATAATAAGAAAAAAGCAAAGGATAGGGACCAAATAAGAAAGGAATTTGAATGACAAGGTACCAATAGACACTCTGAACAATGAAAATGCTAATACCTAGGGGAGAGCTTGCTTTAGGAAAGTATTCCCTTTTCAAGCAATGAATTATAATTAATTTGAACTAATGATCGGGAAAGGGTAAACTTATCTAAAACAGGCTCTAGTAATTTCGCTCAAAAGGTATTTGTCATTTTATTACTAATTACCTATGGCTAGTAGGTTCGGCGGCTCGTCTTTCCATTTCTATTTCCATTTCTGTTATTCCCAAACAAAATTCAATGAGGTACCTGCCAGCAATATTGGTGGCTTTTTAAGGAGGTGTGTTTGCTGCCTTCCTCATGTGTTCATTTTTATTATGAAATATATACATGATATTAAATGAAAGAATGAATGAGTATTAAAATAAGTATTATAAATAAAAGTAAACAAAATAAAAGAATACAAATACATAATACCTTAAACAAACACAAATTAAAGGAAGATGTTTTTAATATTATTAAGGACATTTCTTTTGTTCGTAACTAAACTCCTCAAAAATGACTGTAATTGTAAAATCTATTGATGTATAAGTTATTTTGAAATTTATATCAAAATCCTGTTGTATCGAAGTCTCGATCAATATGTTGCTCATGATGGGCAGCTGTAAGTTGAATTAACGCAGCTTTTAAATATCGTCCCAATATAAGTTCCTAAGAAACGAGGCTAGGCTTTTGCTGTAATTTTTTCTTCCTCTTTGTAGAGAGGACCATTGCAACTTCAGGACCATATGAAGAACTCTATATCCATTTATCCTTTTGATATTTGTGTTTAAAACTACAGTAAGACCTTGATTTCTAGGATTTTAGAGGACTGATGAATCAATCTGTTAAATCAAGCAGCCTGAATATCTTGAAGGGACCGGAAGATCGATCCGTTAAATAGCAGGATCCATCACATTGGGATCCAATGAATCAAGGTCTTACTGTAGACTCTTTTCCTGTTGATTTAGGCGTTGTCTTTAAGAATATTAGTCGTCACTCGGGCTTATGATAATGATCATAAAATTAATAATAACAGTGTTCTTTTTTTAGGGCACCTACTCTGAAAGTGATGAATTTAATGAGACTCAGATATTTAGATATTTAGTAAGTGTAAAGAAACATTTTGGAGGATGCTGTGTGTTTTCAAATTTTTTTCGCAATTTACTCACTGCTAATGTTTTGTATTTAGTCCTAATCAATCTCTCATTATTTTTAATTCTCTCAATTCATTAGTTACCATTTTCACTAACCCTCATTTTAACCTACCCTTAAAATACATATTTGATTGTAACCTGGCATCAATGAAACTAGCTTTTCCAGAGTTTCCTTGGGATGGCATTGCAGTGAAGGAGGACACTAATGAAGGATGCATATGGAATACCAAAATATTTGCTACCGGCTAAATTTCGAAATTTTTTGTCTCTTGAGATCTGCCATAAGAGATGAGCTTTTAAAATCAAACTTTGTATGTGCCAATCTGGAAAAATCAGGTCTCAAATGTGCATTTGCCGGCAATGCAACATATTTTATCATACAGAGAGGTAGCACTGTCGCTGTTTCGAAGATACAAACTTTTTGTTTTAGAAAGAGTTGATTTGCTGTCGTATTTCCCCAACTGGCGCAAGACATGGAACAAGGAGCTTAAGCTCCTCGTTCCTTGTCTTCCGCAACAAATTTCCACTCATCAATGCGGCATGTAAAATTGCTTAAAAACACACTTTTCAGCCCCAAATTCCTGAGAAATGGCAAGTAGAAAGTGCGATTTTGAAAGCTCATCTTTCTCAGAAGATTGTAAAGAACACCATGTGAAAGAATCTCAAAATCTAGCCAGAGCTGAATTTCTTAAAATTCGGCGCCTAGTCTTTCGTGCTAAAGGATAATCAAAACTTTATTCTAATGATGAGATAGAAGGATATTCCCGGGGAAACCCCATGTATTTTGTAATTAAATCGAGAAAAGTGGAGCAAGGGTGCAACTTGAAAATGCATAGTACACTTCCCTCAGTCTGTAGACCCAGGTGTGTTATTGTGCAGGTTTGCAACTTTGTTCATCGTTAAAAAATCTCTTTTAAATTTTTATTACCTTTTCTCTCTTTAATCTTTTCATTTTTGACTAATCCTATGGAACAGTACCAACCAACTCAATTTTTTGCTAAATACCAAGTCAGCCAAGATAATTCATTCGCGGTGTGAAATGGATATCTTTATTATAATTTTTAATCAAAATATCCTTGGATCGAGCAGTTTTATGGCCTATATTAACGGTCTGCAAATTTTTTTTTTTAGCAAGCTAGCATAGGACAAAAATCTGTAAAATGCTTGAAATTGCTTTTAGGCGGTATTGTTTTCTTACCAAATTTGTGACTTCTTGTAGGTAGTTTTTGCGTCGGCTCGAAACTCTGTTTTTCATCCAAACCTTTTGATCGAATCCAGTAAGTTTTAAACAAACTTGTTTCATTTTTCTAGGGTAAACAGTTAACCTGCAATCCTATCAACAGCACAATGGTGGCCTGCAATCTTGGCAACCCCTTAAATAAAGGCCCTGGCGTTAATGTACAGCTACGGTTTGATCCCAAAGGTTTGTCGGATTCTGAAACAGCCCTGGATTTTGTTGTGTTCGCAAACTCTACGTCTCAACAGAAAAACCCTCAAGGTCCCATGAATTTAAGGGCACAAGTCACCAAACGAGCAGAACTTTCTTTAAAAGGGTAAGCTCTAACTAAACTCAGCTCTAATATGTTTAATTTCTTCCCCTTGTATTTACCAGTCAATTTAAAGTTATTTGTGTATCAATATAAAAATCCACTTCAAGATATTACTATTTTTATCCTATTCCAAATGAGCCACACATCTTACTATTCAATACTTTCACTCTTGGAAGTTTCTGTATCAAAATTTGCTCTTAAAATCATTTTTGAGTCACACCCACCAATAATTTTTCTTCGCAACTTTCTATGCTTTTGTGAAATTTATCCTAAAATTATTTTAATCTCTATTTTCTGCTAATCACCGCATCATTTTTCTTTATGACTGAAATCCTAACTGAAATGGTATTTTAGATCAGTTAAATAACATTTCAGCCCCTCTTGAACTCCACTCATTTCAGCGTTATTCATCATCATTCATCGAGATTAAAAACGGAACTCTATAATAGGAGAAAGCAGTCTATTATTGAGTAAGTTGGGACAGTTCGAGCAACAAAAAATGTGAAATATTATCTGTAAGTTTACAGAACCATCTAAGCTAGATTTTGGTTTTTAAATATTTAGGCACATTTATCATATCTTTCTTTTTCGCAGGTTGGCACGCCCTGAGCAAGTTTTTTACGGAGGACAAACTCGCGAAGATTCAAGTATTAAGTACTTGGATGACATAGGATCGCGAGTTATCCACACGTATCAAGTATTTAATGCTGGACCATGGAGGGTGCCAAACTTGGAGATCCATATTGAATGGCCACACAAACTTACTTACTCCCAGAATGGGAGATGTTTGTTGTATATCCAGGAAAAACCACACATTGAAGGTGACTAAATTACTGTAAAGAATTATATTTATACGTTTTTAATATGTGTGATTGCATAAGCAATCGTCGATTATCTATTTTCTAAGAAATTTCCTCTCCTAGTTTTAGGCATGAAATGTTAAGTAAGATAACATGATAATTGGACACATGAGCAAACATAAAGTATCATACCACTGAGACAATTACATTTTGGCAGCATTATACATCCACTTGAATTTCTTCCGACTTCGTACATTTTATACAGCAAGGCTACTGTTTAGTTCAGCTTGCTAAGTGTTTCAAATTTGTAGATGCTTTCATAATATACACTACTTCTATGACCATGTTTACTGCATCAAAATGTGCAGCTTTGCAATCCCAACATTCAGAATTTTGCCAATTCTAAAATGCTTTAAACCCTTTTTCCTTTAGATGCAAACTGTCTCTATTATTTATTTATTTTTATTTATTTATATTTTTTAATTTAGCGCCACCTGCGTTCATATCATGAGTGATAATTGTGTTGAAATAATTTCTACCACATCTTATCAGATGCAAAAGCGGCGATGGGGCAGTTTTCTTGCTCTTGTTGGACCGTGGAGCAGAGATTTGTGTCCGGTGGCATGGTCATCAAACTAACCGATACAACTTCCTTATCCACAAGGAACTTTCAATACATTATAGGATTCTGCTATCCCTCCAACTTCTAGCCCATAAGTGTCCCCTGTGCGTTTCAGCAAGACCAGTTGTTGGCTTTGAAATATAAGCTTAAAGACCAATTGGTAGCATGTGCGGCAACTTATGTCTCTATTCCTATTTCTATTTTTTTAATTTGCTCCTCTCTCTTTTCATTTTAGCTCTTAGTGGTGGAGAGTGCTTCATGGCACCAGGGCAAGTCAATCCACGAGGACTCACTCACCGCCCAGGTTTGACAGAATCCCCCCTTGATTCTGTCTCTCGACTTTCAACCTACTCACGCATTCCCTCCTCGATAGTATACACCACTCCAGTGCCTATGTACAATGCATCAAAAGTTGCTATGTATGATAGATCCATGAACAGAATAAGGAGATCCTATGATGAAATTTCTCCTCCTGAAATGTACGTTGACAAGGATGGCAAAGCTCATAGTTTTGTGAATTTGGTAAGTTCCGAAGAGTTTTTATTAATACTTGCAAGCTTCACCTGAAAATTTTGAAATGTCGAGTGATCATGAAAAAAGGCAGGTCATATCAATGAATGAGGCAGATGAGCGAGGAATATTAGAACATAGCTTTGCCCCTACTGAGTTGGAATTTGTTGTTCTAATTTGCCATTGGTAGCTAGGGACCTGAAGAATCTTTAGTCACCGATTGCATTTTAAATTCGAATATTTTGGAATATTGTAATATTGAGATAGGACTCAGATACCAACTCTAGTGATAACCCCCTTGTTCCAAAATCAAATTGCAAATTTTTCTTTCAAGACGCAATTTCCGCAATTTATCTAAATTTCAAGATTTTTATTTTTGACTTTGCCCACATGAAAAAGTTTTGATATAATTTTTTGGTCATTTAAACGGAAATTTGAGGTTTTTAGATAAAATGGTGCTGTAGTCATAAGGATTTACTGTTAAGAGGTACCATTTTTTTTTAAAATAAATATTTCGGCACTCCCCGATGAGCCTTTCGAAGCACTGCCCAGTGACCAGCCTGCTGCGCCGTCTGAACATGTCCTTGCACTGGCGTCCTGCATGATTCTGTAGACTGCTGCAACATCATGAGTTCGCAGTGTCAACACCAATAAAGTTACCTACGTTTCAAAAGAATTAAACCAAAATATAATTTCGAAAAAAGTATCACACTGACTACAAGAATCGATAGCTGTTTCAAATAAGATATTTTTACGAAACCAAATCCTGTTTCCATCTCTTCAAGTTTTCCTTTCTTTCTCTTTTTTGTGGTAAATGATTCCTGTTTCAAATCTAGAGACTTTCGCAATATTTTTAGATGAGAGCTCAAAGATTTCCCCAATTTTCCACCTCATAGATGCAATTTATTTCACTTGTGTTCAACCACAAGAGGGCTTTAGGACAAATCACCTTTAATAGACATCTTTATGGAAACTTTTTCTGAGCAAATTCCTGTTTTTTCATGATTTCAAGGCTTAAAGAAAATTAAATGTGTATCCTCGCACATGTATAAAGGAAGAAGATAAATATATTGCAAACAAAGTGCAGATGTCCAACTAACATTTTTAAAATAATATTTTTGCCCCTTGTTTCAGAATTGTGCTCTTGGTAACGCAGAATGCATAAAATTCAAATGCGTTGTCTACAGTCTTCAGCAGAATCAAGAAGCAACAGTCTTCATCAAAGCCAGGTCCATAGGTTGAATGCATGTAATTTACAGTAGTAATTATTTGAATTTTAAAGGAACGGACAATTGATCAATGGGAATAATTAATATCTTTTGGAAGCTACTTTTACAGACTCCAATTTTTTATTCCTCCATGATCAACAAAATTCAAAATTTTTAAGACATACTGAAATACCTATTTTTCAGGTACAGAAATTTTTCTCTGCAGCTGAAAAAAAGAAGAAGAACCACTAACAGACAAAATTTAGACTTGTGACTTTCGAATTGATGATAAATTGATTGATGGTTTGATTTTGTTCTTCTCTTTGGAACAGTGGCATACTTTCAAGCTTTACTAGATCTTTGAAAGTTTATCAAAGACCAAAAATCAATATTAGCCATGTATGTGTTCCTATGTCTGGGAGTTTGAGAAGAAATCAATCATTGACCACTTAGATTTTTTCCTTTTCTTTAGCTACTGCATGATTATATCTATTAAATATGCTATCTTAATGTACTGCTGTCCAATAAAAGTGTTCTTTTTTTTTGGTAGGTTATGGAATTCCAGTTTAATTGAAGATTACTCCAGCGTTGATTTTGTTCGAATAGCCTCCAGAGCACGGATACACATACCCGCGTCTTCAATAATCCATCAGAATACCAGTGATGATGTCGCTCAGGTGTGTTTTTCACTCAATAGATGGCCATTGCCAAACAATATTTCAAATTTTAAAGTAGTTTTTTGTCTTTAAAAGAACTGCCGAGGGAAGGCAAAAACAATTGCGCAATGATTTAGTAAAGCGAAGCCTAACTAACAAATGCATGCGGGTTCCAGATCAACACACTAATATGACAGTGCATTTCTAAAAATGCATTGATGCGATGTAGTTGATTTTCAAAGCAAAGACCTATTTCACAGTACGTTCCTCTGTGGGCAAACTCTTACATTTCAACTCTTGAAAAGTAAAATTTAAAGTGATATGCCTCGGAAGTTTTGTATAATTTTTTTTTTCACATTAACTAACTTTGATATACCTATGTAAAAAAAATATATAATTATTTTTTTCTTTATCTGTGGACCGGACATAAGGCCGCTGTCGGCCTCCTATGGTGTAGTGGTTGTAGCGCTAGCTCTATGATCGGGAGGTCCCCGGTTCGATTCCCGGCCAGGCAACCCGAGTTGGATGGTCTCAAACAATGGTTGCCTGGGATTGGTTGTAGGGACGGTGAGGGGACGGGACTTAAGGCAAGGAGTAGCCCTTGTGGGCTACTTGAAGTAGTAAAAACAAAAACAAAATAATGATAAATTGTTTTGATTGTACAATAAAAGTGAGGAATTTATTATTTTTGTGTTGCTCTGTTGATTTTTTATTTCAGTAGAGGGAGTTTTATCTCTATTTCTTGTCTGTTAAAATTAGGTGGAAACTCTGGCCAAAGTTGATCTACTTGAGCAGCAAGTTGCTGAACCGGTGCCACTGTGGATAATAGTCATAGCAATTCTAGCTGGTCTGATTCTCCTTATTCTACTGACGTATTGCCTCGCTAAAATCGGATTCTTCAAGAGGAGAAGACCAGACCCAACGCTGAGCGGTAACATAGAAAAACACCGCGGGGAGGAGAGTATTCTCTCAGATTATTAAACGATCTCTGTTTTTGCTCCTATCAAGATATTTGGCTCGGTTTTAGACCGTCATCCTTTTCAAAACTCCTTTTCTCCTTCTTCGACTGATGCCTCCTAAGACTTAATTTTTGTTGAGGATGTCCGTGTTTGTTGCTGTTTACATCCTGTGAACAGCAGTACTCCTGGAACTATTTTCTTACTTGGAATTTTTTGGTGCTATTTTCAATAATTAACTCCATTATGAGTAAGGAAAGTTCTTTAATGTTATTTGTTAAGTGCCCGGATTTTCAACAGCTAAGTTTCAGATGAGTTTTATTCATGTGGACTAAGTATTTTCAACAGTATTAGAGGCTTTTGTAATTATTACAAAAGATTTTGCAATGCGGAAGTCTCTATCTCCCATTTTCTGTACTTTATTCTTACAAACTTTGGCTAATTATTCTACCATGACCTGAAAGAAGGATGGGAAATTAAGTTTTTCATTGTGGAAGCCTCTCTTCTTCCTTTTGGTAAAATAATTAGATGATTTAGCTCCTCTACAAGAGAAACAATATTTCTTAATCTCAAAAATTTGAAATGTATGAGTATTACAATACATTGAGCATTAAATGGCAGTCAAGTCATCAAGTGTCCAATCTGAGGCGTTATAATAACTCCTATTATTCGATACCCTATTAATCCTAGGGTACAGCGATAGTTTTTGCCTTCTTGTAGTGCAGAACCTCAATGGTTCAATCTTATTTCCGCCAAATTAAGTGAGGATTTAAGTGCAAATTCTATATGTTTGATTTTTAATACCTCTCAGTGAATAAACTGTCGTCATTCGGGCAAAGAATTCGTGCTATATAATATGAAGTAAGTTTAAATTCATGCATACAAATTGATTAACGAGGTTTAGCCAAATAATGATTGTGTACACATTTTTTAGCGTACTATGAAAAAGCTCAGCAAGTCAGACGATAGAGGGCCTGGGGCGCGCTGTCGGTGCGTCTCCCACCAGGGTTCGGTATTTCGATTTACAAGGAAGCTCCAAGTGTTCGAGCCTCAAATCAGGACTGGCTGGCTGTGCCAACCTGAAGTGCTGTAACAAGAGCAAAACCAGTGGTACGGCTGTCAGCAGGCTCGATTTCTATGTCCGCACCAATTTCTTTCCAACTGAGATTCTTGCCAGCACTCTAAAAAATGTTTACAAATCCATTAGTTGGCTAAACCTTGTTGAAGAATTTGTATTCATTGAATTGTAGTCAATGACTAATTGTCGTTTTAATTCATGCCATACCATACTGAGAATGAGGTAGCACAGTTTGAATATTGTTTCAAACAAACTATAGAAAACTTTATCAAACTCTTTGATCAGTTTCAGTATTTTTGATGATATCATACAAAATCACATTTTGCATTTGAACTTTTTATTTTACTCAAAATTCCATACAGCTAACCTTCACCTGCTGAATCAGGTGATGTTGTCTCCCGTTGCTAGTCTTCTACTCAAATCTATCAAACTGATTGATGTGAGTGATGTGATGATTGTGCCGGGATGAAAATATTTGTTTTTAGTGCCTGTGCCAAATGTATAATAATGAACATATAATTATGTATTATTCGTACTTGCCATTTAAGTGATAAGACTTTCTCAGAGTGGAGGAAATGGTATATTTATGGTGGTGTGTGAATGTGCTCTGTAAGTGACTTTGCGAACTGAGAAAAAGATAAGAGAAAACAAGAGAGGTAGTTTCAAGTTTCAATTTAAGTTTTAAACATCAAGTTTCTATTTTCCATTTGTAATAAGTTTCTGTGCCTTACATATTTTTTAATCAACATTCAATCACCAGAAGGTAGGTTCACTGAAGTATCCAATCAATTAGTAAAACTTTCCTTTTACTCAAGACGAAAGTCATCGGTCAAACAATAAAAATACTGACGATGTGGATAGAATTGAACTTACAACAATGAGGTCGAGTTTTTGAAAAATTATCATCTTTTGTTCTGCTCACATAAGTTGGACAACAGTGAAATAATTCTTACTCCAATTGCCTCTATTTTCAGGGTGCATTGTAGGTGTACTTGTTAATGTGTGAGTGTGCATGAGTGTATTGTGAAAGGGTATGTCCGTATGTGTGTTGTTACTGTTTACTGTAAGACTTGAAACATTCCAGATTCTCTGAATTAAAAGATACAATGGACGGCCTGAATTTCATTACTCAAGTTCAGAACCAAAAAGGAAAATATACTTATGTATGTATTAAATAGTTAGTTGTGCAGAGAAAAAAAAATGTAAATTTTGGTAGATTTATACTGCAAAAAGTATCATGAGCTGTGATTGTAAATGTTTTAACAATTGTTAGGTATTTGTTGTAGATATTATTTTTAGTTTTGAATGATTTAGCTTATGCTACTGATTCAGCGACCGCGTCTCTTCCAGTATTTTGTCGCATGTATTTGATCCTCGACCCCTCACCTTTCCAACCTGTATTTGCATCCCTCATATGGGAGTGTTGATGATATCATGGTCTCTTAAGTGACAATGCCTCATGAGTTTAGTCAAGCTGTAAGTGTTTTTTAAATTTCTTTTTTCTTTATCGGATTATGGCTGAAATTTCAAAATATCTCTAAAACGTACAACCACTAAAGCAAAGAATTTGGGCATCATTTAATTTTTTAATTACTTGTGGTACAAACTCTCCAATAATTGGCAAGATTTTTTTAGAGACTATGCAATCTTATGAAAATGTGTGTAGTAACATGGTGCAAAATCAGAACTACATACTTTGAATTACTCGTCCCAAGGACTTTTAATGGTAATTTGAACTTCTTTATTAAAATCTTTCTATGAATCATTTTATCATTTAAGCTGTTTTCTTTTTAACATCTTTAATCAAAAAGAGGACAAAACTTGTATTGCCTTAAGTATTGCATAATTTAAGACATAATTTTACTAGCCTTAGGTTTTACTTCATTAGCTCGTGAGTTCTCATCTCATCAATAATCTTTTGTGATAACTTTCACAAATCATTATTGATGTATCTATTCTCAATCAGTAATTTCATTTGTCAGTTAAAATCTCTGCAATAATGATTAGCAGTGACTTTTTGTACCTGAATCTAGCGCTCTGTGATTCAATTTTATTTTGTAGATTACATAAATATTCTGTTAAAGTGAAGATTTGGGAATGGAGTAAAATAGTTCAATACAGGGTGTAAAAATCATACGAAATGTGAAGGGGTTTAGAAGGTTTCAATCATTGCTTAAATGCACTTTAGAATTTGAATTTTTAGACCACCAGTCAGTGCTTGAATGATTATCAAAGTGCCTGTGTATTTATATTCGAATTGAAATTTAATATTTGTATTTTAGTTTTATAAAGCCTTAAAGTATTTGCATATTTTTAAGTTTATCTATGTTCAAATTTTTTTCTAAGAACATAGTTTGCCTGTATCTGTATTTGAGCTATTTGTCCAGATAAATAAAGTATTGGATGATTTGTTTTTCCCTCTCTCGTGAGAGATGTGGGATCAATTGCAGTTAAGCTGATGTTCTTTCAGTTCAATCTGTTTTTACTGTATTTGAATCTAAAGAAAATGACTTAAAAAAATTTGCATAAGCCCAAAATTTTTGCCTCATGTGTCAGAATCTATGCTTGATAAGGTCTGCACGTATTCTCAAGCTTTTTGTTCCTTCTTTAATTGTTTTGCAAGGTAGCCTGGATGTAATCAATTTTTGCCTTTGTTTTGGAATTTTTGTGTAATTTTTTTTGTGCTATCCCACCTTGCAACTGCAACAGTTTTGCAGCAGTATTGTTGAAAGCTAGTGTAAGCAAAAATGGTACCAATCTGGTACCCTTTGGCATTATTGCCACAGTCGTGTGAAAGATTTTGGATAGTGCAAATGCGTTATTCTCCTACCTTGAATTTAAATGTAGATGGTGCCACAAAGACTTTATTCCGATATTTATCTGCTCTTTTACTACTGCCCAGAATTTTCTGTTGTACTATCGTTCTGCAACATTCCTACCTTATTGTAGGGTCATATTAGAAGGAAAAATTTCCTGTAAATTGCAGCATTCTTGAGAGGAAAATTTGTTGATCTTTCACAAGCTGATTGGTCCTGGGTTCTTGATGTGTTTTAATTGGTGTGCTATGTACCACACTGATCAAGCGAAAAATCTCGACAGATTTTGATGTACTAGCCCAAAAAAAGGACTATAGCCTCTAACAAGGGGAGGCTACGGATTGTCCACCTCAGATCGGGTTCAAATTTGGCAGAGAGGTAGAATAGGTTAATATAAGAACCCGTATTTTTTTTTAGGTGCCAATGCCCAGCCGTTTTTGAGTTATGAATTTTTAAAGTTGCCGTTTTTTCGCGTCAGCCACGCGCTCAAGTCTGGTCCACTGTGCGCGCACGTTTAAGTGCCAATCTGACTGCACCTTCAGCACAGAGAGACGACTGGCCCAGCGGCAGCGCTTCCGCCTCCGGGCCGAATGGTCGTGGGTTCGTTTCCCACCTTTAGTTGATAGTTTTTGTAACCAATTATTTTGTTTCCTAATCGTTTAATCACAGCAAATTGTAAGTCACTTTGTAAACATTATGATTCTGATTATTTTTTTTTCTATCTTTTTCTTCAAACAATCAATCCACGTCATTGGCCGCTTCTATATCTCCGAATACATTTTTTGCAAGGTATGCGCCAAATATTAAATACGTTTTACTTACATTAAAAAACAATGAGGAGAAAGAGAGATAGATGTAAGAGAAGAAAACAAATGAAAATTATTTTTTCAACCCTCGTCCTTTTTTGCACGCGTGTAAAATTTGCAACATTGAGAATGGTCATGGTGATAATCTGACATATATTCTTAAATCGTCAATTAAAACAAAAATCGGAACGATGTTTTTACCTGGGTAAAGAGAAGGCATAGGCGAAACAATGACAAAATCTGCCTACTGCAATGCAGGAGAGCAGCTTTGAGGATGATAATCGTCATAGAAGCAGTGAAAGCACAGAGGAAGAGTGCACCGAGCGCAGATTACGAATGCGACTTTTTCGCACAGACATTTCTCCGAGCTTACTTTATCGGGGAAACACACTTCCTTTACATTGCGGAAAAATGGATTGTCCGATATGAGTTGCGATTTAAACCAAGCATACCGAATCATGTCCCGAAAAACAGGCGAGCCTAACTGGTGGTGAACTAATGAGTTTATTTTAATCGCGTCCTCGCGGGAGTGAATTTGGCGATTTTCTTTCAACAATTCTGTACAGTTTTGGAGTTTCTTTATAAATAACTTCACCTGACGAAAGAAATATACGTCGCACGGCTGACACAAAGGCGTACACAGGGGTGGTATAATTTCAACAGAAATCGTCCGTCTGCCTGCGTCATCGGTGAACGCGTCGTGCAGCATAGAGATGTCGGTTTGCCCGCCCCACGAGTCCAGAATGAACATGAATTTATTGTCGCGCACATACGGTTTAATTACAGTTTGAAGATAATTATCAAAAATATCCTTAGTGAATTTTCCCGATTTGGAGCAAGACACAACCACGTTCCCGTACTCCGCAACCAGTTGATTCACTTTTACTTGAACGATGGGTCCAAATTTGTTCTCTGGTTCCTGCATGCACAGGTACACCGGCAGCAAATCACCATCCGCAGTTACGGCATATTCTGCGGTATATCGATGCGTCACTTTATTACGCGAGCCGATGAACGCTTCCGTAACTTTTTCGCCCTTAAAAGAAAGCGTACGAGCAACCTCAGCGCGATACTCAATGCCGGTTTGGTCGCAGTTGATTACTAATGAGGGATTAAAGTCCTTAATTTTCGCTCGCACACAATTTTGAAATTTCGTCGCAATTTCTACCACTTTATCGAACGAAAGTGCGTTGGCCGATTTTATATAGCGAATTACTTTGCGCTGTCGGATCCCGTGCGACTTCTTGAACTTTTTCGCCCAAGCTAAAGATGCGGTGAATTTAAAATTCACACCTTGATAAGGGGTGGCATGACCGAGCGCCCAAATTTGAAGATCTCGCGTTGACACGGGTTTTTTATCTCGCCTTGCTTCCTTAAACGATTTAAAAGTTAAATTGTTAACGATCGCACTTTTTGCGCGTAAGGAGCCGCCTTTCTCGTTCTCCACGTCACTTTTCCATCTTTTTAGAGTCCGTTGGCAGGTAAGTTTTCGCGAACCGTGCTTTCGGAGCGAATTTAATGTCCACTTGGGGTGATTTTTAGCCAACTCGACGACTTTTTTTTTAACTGCAAACGGAACTTCGTCGGAGGGTTCTGTTCTCTCGCTGTCCAAGGATTCACTGCCGCAACTGTCACTATCCGACGACACTTCTTTTTCCGAACCGGAAACGTAGCAATCACCGTCGGAATGATTTGCGACAATTTCTTCCGGCAAAAAACACTCTAGATCACTCGACTTTGAATAATTTTCTAACACTTTAATGATTTCACACGAAAATCTTTTACCCAGTAATTTAGCATCACGACCCGGAGTTTCTGATGGCGACAAATTCAGAAATTTAGCGTCAACTAAAAGTTTTCTGCACCACTCGAGGGCATCCGTTGCAGTTTGCACTTCGACCATTGGACGACTTGAATTAAAATCGCGGGTAAAAATACGGAAAACTGTCCACCGAATTTGTCCCGAGCGAAAAAGCGAGCGACAAGACGAAAGAACCGAAATCGCAGGTGCCGAGAAAAGCTCCTGTGGCACTGATTTGCTATCAATTTGAATTTTGTCATTTTGATCGATGCTGTGCAGTGTGCAGCTATCTTGATGAGGAAAAAAGAGAGTAAGAAATATCTTATCATATTAACACCTTTATTGGTAGTTCATTGCGATGAATAGATCACATAACGCCAGAAAATCCGCCTCTTCTGTCTTCATCGAGAAATCAGGAATTGAATCCGAGTGCACGTGGTTTGGGAGCTACCAAATACTGGAAAATGTGCAACGTAGAACATCTAATAATTTTCCCTTTCGAGTCCTTTTGAATGTAAGGAAACGCATATAATATTTGGCGCATACCTTGCAAAAAATGTATTCGGAGATATAGAAGCGGCCAATGACGTGGATTGATTGTTTGAAGAAAAAGATAGAAAAAAAAATAATCAGAATCATAATGTTTACAAAGTGACTTACAATTTGCTGTGATTAAACGATTAGGAAACAAAATAATTGGTTACAAAAACTATCAACTAAAAGTGGGAATCGAACTCACGACCATTCGGCCCGGAGGCGGAAGCGCTGCCGCTGGGCCAGTCGTCTCTCTGTGCTGAAGGTGCAGTCAGATTGGCACTTAAACGTGCGCGCACAGTGGACCAGACTTGAGCGCGTGGCTGACGCGAAAAAACGGCAACTTTAAAAATTCATAACTCAAAAACGGCTGGGCATTGGCACCTAAAAAAAAATACGGGTTCTTATATTAACCTATTCTACCTCTCTGCCAAATTTGAACCCGATCTGAGGTGGACAATCCGTAGCCTCCCCTTGTAAGCATGAGCCTAAAGATTTATTCTCAACCAAAAAAATGGCAAAATTTAGAGAAATGAAGGCAGGATTTCTCTTGGATAAAAAGTCGCAAGAACCGAGGACGAATCCTCTTAAATATTTCACCATCTCTGTCCCCAAGTTGCTGTCTCAACATTGTCTCATTTGTACACCTAGCCCATGTTATCGAATTCCTTTCTTTCAAGGTGGGATACTTTTTTAATTACCTTGTATGTACTTACTTTTGTACTTACTTGTCAAAAGAACTGAATATTATTAAGGTATAAGGTACCTGTCCATTAGTGAAACTATACTTGCTGTAAAAATTATTTCATGTGTCAGAAAAGACTTATTTACACCAAAAGAGTCTGTGTATCTGCTTTAGTTATTTAATGTGGACAGCATTCTTTACGTAAGTATTTTTGTTTTATTTTTTTTCTTAAAGTTCAAGTGTCTCTTATTTTGTCTTTGATGCCTTTGAAAAGGTTCCTCAATCAAAGAAGCTTTGAAAAATAGGGTTGTTTGTCTTTCTCATAACCCTTCATGATAGTCAAAGCAGGAAAACATGAATTTCTTGACAAAAGAGACAAAATAATAGAGGCCAGTTGACAGACTTTTAGTGAGGCTTTAAGCCTGAAGTGAAATCGACTTCATTTCCAATGTCATAAGTTTGAAGATTTATTGTCAAATCTTCAAATATCAATTTTGATATTCCTCATCCATTAAATGTATTTTAGTTAATAAATTGAATCCAAGAATTATTTGTGTTTTATTTACCACCCCTAAAAGAAAAATCCAAATCATAACATGAGCCTTACTGAAATTGCTAATTACATATACATTATTCTCACTAAGATCTGGCCTGAATTAAACAGCCCTGTCTGTCAAGCTGCATCGCCTTCATCCCTCGGTTATTAAATCTGATCATAGCGAACAGTGTAAATTTTGCTGAACATGAAAAGTTAAAATATGCCAATCTACATTTGTATGTTGTCTGTCTTTTTCAAAATATTCGGAAGATTCTCAACTATCCATTGAAAGAGAAACAGAATTTTTGAAGCCTTCCAATTAACATATAAGTGATGTTTCTTATTTCCACCATTATTGTGCCATCATGTTGAATTTATTCACTAAGCCAATGCTTGAATTGGAAAAAACTCCTTACCTACATTGCAGTGTCTTTGAATTTCTGAACTTGCTTTATTTTTCAGAAGGAAAGTTCAAATTACAGTTCGAAATTATTCTTGTTTTCTCCCCTATTCCGTGATTTTAATGTAAAACTGTTAAGCCACAACAAAGATTTCTTGTAGAAATAAATTTATTTTGTATTTCTCTAAAAATAAAATGTATGTTGAGAAATTTTGAAACTTCACAATTGATAAATGAAAAAAAATTAATGGAATTAATGGATCATTAAAAAAATTAAGCAATAAAGAATTTTTTTGCCCGCTCCTCGTTAAAGATCAAGCATCAATAACCCTTTTTTTTGGTTTCATGTTCCTGTATTTCCAGTAGTTTTTCACCCTAAATTTTTAAGTTTTTTTAGTCAAGTGCCAATTTCTGAATACATACCTAACGTCATGGTGCATTTTAAAGGCAGGAAAGGCGAATTTTGAGGCTGAATATTTCTACTAAAGATGCTGAACTTTGCTGCCCTTAAAGTCTCCAAAGAAATGTCAAAAAATAAAATGGGCCTCTTTATTCGGGTACTTGGTACCATTGAATAAAATGAATATAGTAAAAAAGTGGAAGTGGAAGTCCCTGAAACATTCTAGCAAAATTTAAGTATTTTCTTTGAAATATTTCAGACCTGCATGGGGATATTCAAGCAATATGTGTAGGACCTAGGAATTAAGATGAGTTCTTAAGCTGCTTTATTCTTTGTCGGAGCTCATGCCGAATAAGTTTATGCACTTCGAGGATCAACATGTTGGATCTTCTGTTGCACAAACTTATTTGGTGTGGACTATACAGAACTAAGGAAATATGTGACACGGGAGTGGAGGGGGAGGTGTGTCTAAAAACCAGTGAAAGTGCTTTACTTTATATACTTGAGTGATTCTTACATGTATCATAACTGAAATTGAAGTTGACACCTACATTAAATTATCGCATTTGGATTGCACTTTGCAAAAAGGAACCAAGACACCAAGAGCATTCCAGTGTTGCTAGGACTGTGCATCTTACATTCCTCGTAATAACTAATGAGGTTATTGAAATCATGCAAAAAATTAAGTTTACAAAGATAATTTTCATCTTGAATCTGTAATTCTGTATCCAATTGGGAGTGAATACTTAGAAAATTTATTTGAACGATCAGTTTAAATTTTTTGGAATTCGCGCCGTTCTCATGAAAGTACGGTGAGGGCAGGCACTTAGTGATTCGAAAATAAAAAATACGTCATCAAGGGCAAGAATTTCTCGAGCGTTTAGCCGTCTGTAGGTGTCAAAATTGGCAACGCATGCACAAAAATGAAGTGGTGAACATCTCTCATTGAAAGTGCTTCTTTTTCTACTCAAACTACGGTTTAAGTCGATTTCAAAAGCCACTAAATTTCGACTTGCGCGGAAACCACAATGTCATGTTGATTACGTAATTTTGGCGAATCAGCCGCAAGGAAAAACAGCGACCCTTTACTATAACCACCACGCTTCAGAGCTCTCCCAGCAAAGAATGCTGCCTCTTATTGCTTAAATTTTGTATTTTAACGTTATATGTAAATATAAAAAAACCTTTTTTTTGTATGATTTGATAACATTGCGTCGAATTTGACTTCACGCTACAAAGAAGGAAAACGTCACAATACGTCACGTGACGAAGGGAGTGGTTCTCGGAAGAGGAACGACGATCCTAGGGAACGTTAGTGAACGAACCAACAGCAGGCTGTCGTTCTTGATCGTTTGTTCCTCAATTTTTCAGTCTATTTCAAACCGTTGTCCAGAAAGTACGCGAGTCGACCGTCGAAAAACGTTCTGTCTTCCCTTCGGATTGTGCCTAATTTTGTCCCTAAATGAGTGCAAATCTGCCCTGAAACTGCCGCGGAGTCCTATTTGTGGTCTATGGTATTCATATTTTCACATCTAGCTCAGGTGAGGCCTCCTAATTTTCTTCCATTTATCAAGCCATCCTTTAATTGTTTGCTTCCATCATTGGAGAACGGGCCTAGTTTCGCAGGTAGCTACTGCGCATGCCCGTAGAAGTTGGTGCCATAATTCAAAAACGTGTTTTCTGTGATTTTGTATACATGTTTTGATGACTGATTCTAATTTTGTCAATTCTGTGTTTTTCAACGATCGTGTCAGGCTGTTCATTACGTCTTCTTAGGTATTTGTAAATTTTTCATCGAAATTGTGATAAAAAATACATTTTAGTGATAAGTTTCCCTTATCATAAAGATCTTCACTAGTACACGTACTGTATGTATCTGTATCTCACAGTAGTGATCTCTTGGTAGGAGGTATATGCGTCAGATGTTTATCTTTTTCAGTTTGATTTGAGTTTGTTTGCGAATGTCTCCATAGAGCTGAAAAACTTTATGGGCTTATTTAATTTGGTTGTCAAGGGTTTAGTAAGATTAAATCATTCTCTATTTCTAGGATTTTTTTTTATTGAAGTAGATAGCCGCTTTGGTTTTGTGCTCTACCTACTGTTTATCTCTGATCATCAGTCAGCATCGCAGACTGCAAAGGCATGTCATTTTGTTCAAATCGCTGAACTTCAGAGGTTTCTCGCATTATTTCCTTGCAGAGTCCTGCTCTGTATCCATAGCCCCCTGCGGGAGCTTTATATTTGTGCACCGATTAAAGACCCACTTCAAATTTTAATACCTTAACAATCAAAGATCCGCTATCTTCCAAAATAATTGCTAAAATTTTTGAGTAGAGCCCAACTCAGATTACTTTTCCTCTCTTGCTGTATGCACAGAATATCCTATCCTACGCATACAGTTAAAAAGGAAAAATAATCTGAATGGGGTTCTAGTAAGTTGTATCTCAAAATAAAGTACGGAGTTACGGACCATCCTAGAGGGTGGTGATGCTGTACCAGAAGCTGTCCTCAACTCCTCGGTAGAAAGAGATTTACAGAGCGTTGACCAAACTGACTAGCTAGGGCTGTCTGGTGTCGAAAGTCTTGTTATCAAAGTTAGTGCCAACCAAATAGGGGGCCGACAGTTTAACTTGTATCCAATATTAAAAATTCTATGGCAGGTTAATTAGTAACTTAACAAAGCTCTTATGATCTGAAAGTAAGATTATAATAATTAAATGATTTTTTTTAAAGTTTCTGTAAGTAAAAGTACCTTGATGGAGACAAGGGGAGTATATGAGGAGAATTGTTCGTGGGGGGTATTTAAAATAGGATCATGTTATGTAAAAAAAAATTAACCTATCCTGGATTAATTATCATTAAAAAAGAGGTACTAAGTTGTCATCCCTGATAAAATTGAGTGTCTGGTTTCAGTTTTAAGCATGGAATTATGCTTTGAGTTTTTATTTGGTCTTATTTTTCAATCAGTAATGAGCGCGAATATGTAGAAAAAAAGAATTAAGATTTTGATGTGCACAACTTTAATATTTAAACTCTTAAGAGGGCATATTGTTTACCCTTTCAAATGAAGAAAATTGAATGCAAGAAGCTGCACCACAACCCCAATCTCCCGGGGCAATGTTTGGTCACCTTCCGGCGAAAGTACCACAAGCGCCATGTGTCGTTTAAAAATTTCCGCCACCATTTTATTTTTTAGAGAGAAATCGTTCAAAGAAGCTGTCAGAAAATTTTGCTGAATTTTCTTTGTGGTGCCAATTAAATTCAGTGAAATTTTCAAACAGATTCAACCAATAATATCTCTGTAAAAAAATAAAATGGCGTACTTTAATGTAGGTAAAAAGTAAATTTTACCAGGGGGCTGCCCCGAGTGCCCTGTGGCTCAACCCCCGGAGATTTGTCTCACTGCCAGCCTCATGAGGATCATTGGAAAAGTTAAAATTAATGCTATTCACTAAAAAAATTGGAAGTACGATGGCATGATTATGAGAAGAGGCTTGAACAATTGGACCACATTCTCCGATAAGGAACTGATATTTTAGGCTCTTGTCGTATGTGAGTGAAGCGGAATAAATACTGTCCCCGTCTTTCTCTCCATTAAATTATTAATTTAAGCAAAACAATTTTCTGTTTAAAATCCATTTCGTCACTTTCCATTATCCTCCTTGGGGTTAAATCATCAGAAAATATAGAACTTCCTTCAAGCGCCTCAGCAGTGAACAGAAACAACACAACAAACTAAATTTCACGGTAGATATAAACCAACTGAGATGCCTTTCCAAAACACAAACTCGGCATTGGAATCCACTTGAATAATGCGCGGAGCGTGAAACAAGGGAAGAATATTCGAAGTTAGGTTCGGACCCAACACGCAACCATTTTAACTCCACTGTGGGCCGGGTTGCATACGCTCGATTTTGCGGGCGAAATCAGACATCTGCTCACGGCTTTCGCTATAGGGTATTTCTAAGACTGAAACTAAAAATTTAAAAAAAAGCTTCTTTGTGCTAAAATTCATGCTGAGCCGAATCACCGGGAATATCTCAAAACTAGGTTGTTATACTGGTGTGGTCCAAACAGTGCTCACAATTTTATCCCCAAGTATACCACTAGGATTTTAATACATAGAAGGATAATATTAATATACACAGTGGGATAAAAGCATGACTTGGCTATTACTTCGCAGCTTACTGATCTGCTTCCGTCCTTAATTTTTTGGCATTGGGGGGTGGGGGTTGTATAAACGCCTTCACGAACCAACCGGCATGAAATTTTCTCAATAGCCTCGCCGTTTTCAAGATATTAATAATGAGCCATCAAACCTGTGACGACGCACGGTAGATCGAGTCAATTTGAGAGGTCGGACATACAATTTTTTACTAAAACTGCAAATAATGATGTTTATTTCGTCTATTTTAAATTTCTGTGGGTGCTTTAAGATGATAATTTCACGACGAAGCCAGTGGAACCACTTTTAGAACCTCAAAGTTTTGTATAAACGGAGTTTTAAGCGTTTCAAAGTTTCCGAATTTTATCCGAGCTCTCCTATTAACTCGATCCACCGTGCGACGGAACGTTTGTAAACGACGCGCAACATGACCGCGAAAGTTTACCGGCAATCGCCGTTTTTTTACGCGGCTCCTGAAGATTTTCAGCGACGATCCGTCAGGAACTTGATTTCAGCTGACTTTTGGAGGTGGCGATAATTGTGCGAGATCAGGGGATGCATGGTTTAAAAAATGCTCCAGATAGTATCAGTTTTTGGCCAAATATTTCAAAAGCAGTTAAAGTTCGAAAAACCGATAGCCCTGTCCCACCGATCCCCTCCCTTGAATAACGCCCCCCGAGCATCTGTTAAAGGTGATTATATGTATATTTAATTTTATTATATGTATAATATACGTATTATATTAGACGTATATATAATGTATAGGTGATTATATGTATATCATAGGGACGAGATCTGCCACCACGTTGCGCTGCTTCACGGTTTACGTCTTGGAGAGGCAATAATTATCGTAATGTACAAGATAATGCAAGAAACTGATCCACAACGTGTAGCAGCATTGATACTGAGTAGAATGACATTCATCGTAAATAACTACCTGAAACTACGATAGCGGACGTCGCCCGTTGACTCAATGTGTAAGAGAGAAATAGCGCTATAAAGACTCTCTCTTACACATTGAGTCAACGGGCGACGTCCTTTATCGTAGTTTCAAATATTAATTTTCGATGAATCTTAACAAATTTTGTGTCATTCCACTCACAATCAGTATCAATGCTGCTACACGTTACGGATCAGTTTCTTGCATTATCTTGTACATTACGATAATTATTACTTCTCAAAGACGTAAACCGCATAGCAACGCAACATGGTGGCGTATCTCGTCCCTATATCACATAGAATCACCTTATAAAGGGGAGTATGAATTCAGGCCAACCATTTTAACTGGTAAATTTTAAGAGAGTGCGAGGTTGATTGGAATATGTATTTTGATGTGTTTCGTAGGGGAACTGCATAAGTTCGTAGAGACGATTTTGCTCTCCCCCCCCCCTTCCTCCGTTCCGTCTTCGCGAAAGACCGTTTTTTCCGGGAGTTGTAAGTATAAGTGTTAGGTCAGGATTCACAGTAAAATCCTGAAAATCCTAAAGTATATTGCATTTTTGTTTGCCTTGATGTTTTCCTTTTATTGCGAAGTCATAGTTTGGCAATCATGCTGACAAACGTTTGATTTGACAGGCGTGCCAAATTTCCAATCTGCGGAACACCGTCGAAATTTAGTCGCCGAAATTCGGAATGCTCAAGTTCAAATAAGTGTAGATGAACATCGCCACTTTTTTTCTTTTTTTCTCTCGGGTTTTTTGCTGTCACATTATTGTGAAGGCATCGTTGGGCTAATCAATGGGGACGTCTCCAGGTATTCCCGGCGATACTGCCGATACCCTTTGAATTATTTTGGCAACCTCGCTGCAGTTTCAGTACACAGGCTGGGAACAAAACTATACCCCATAGTATTGAGGATGCAGGGCTTCTTACTAATTTAACCCAGATCATCGCTGTAAATATGGAGATGCGTTCCACTGCTTGCACTCTTGATACGAGAATTAAACGCTCACCTATCTAAACTGCCGTGATAGCGAAGAGAACAGTAAGTAAGTGCAAAAATGAAGTTTTGAGAAAACGGGCTCAGCAGCTTTTATGACCGGAAACTTTTATCGGAAGAAGCCTCTGTTCTGTGTCAAATTACCACTAATCATCCGAAAGACTCTTAGAAATCGTTTGGATTAAAAATCGACCGATTTTATTTCTATTACAAAAAAGGGGTGTATCATTCATTTTCATATTAGGCTAGTATTGGGCAAGACAGCCGTAAGTGCTATCCTCTGCATGCTTTCGTGGTTGCGTTTTGGACAAGCAACAAACACATTTTCAGGTTAGAAATCGGCAGAAGAAGGCGGCACTTGATTTGAAGGCACTGATTTCATTGGCTCTCTGGAGGAATAATGTCACTTGCTGCTATTTTGTCTGAAACTATGCCAT